GAGTTTAGGTATCGAGATAGTGTTAGGCATGATTTTTCTTCCAGGTATTGTTTTTCTATGTGATCTAATAGACTGAAAGTGAAAATATGAAATATTGTAAATAATACTCTAAACTTGTGTTTATTTATATATATTATATATATATACATATATATATATATATATATATATATATATATACTAGCTGACCCGGCAAACGTTGTTTTGCTACGTAAGGTATATCCTAAACAATTTCTAGAGAATCAAAATTATTTAATACTTTAAGTGTATAAGGATGTGTTGTTTAAATGCTCTATACAATGAGGTATTAAAAAAACAATAAACACCATCAGTTTGTCTATATTTTGTCAATACAACCAAACTGCAAGTTTTATACACTTTTTATAGAAAACATGGTATAACTCAATCCAAGTCTTTTTTGGTCTTTCGACTTATTGATTACGTTTCAAGTTTTTCTGATTCTTTTTGGATTCTGGATTTTGTGTATAATTGTAAATAATACTACTAAGTTTATCAAAAAAAATTCAAATTTCTGCGAGGAGAGATAGAAAATGAATTAAGTATTTCTTCTTTGACCTGCTTTTTGAAAAGTTTCAAGTAACATTCGATGAATTAAAGTAAATTTAATAAAAAGTATATATGTAGAGCAGGGCGAGGCACAAAGGTCCAATTTGACTTTGAACCGATATAAACTATATTGTAAAAACCATAACAAATAACACCGTTCAAACAAACAATTATCTGACTACGTTCAGTAAAACTGTCAGCTACTTTATCATTGTAGAAATGTGCTTTTTTGATGTCTTTCAAAAATTTTATATCTAAACCCTTTTACCCTCTGGGCGAAGTAACTTGGAACAGGTTTAATGTCTTTTTTTAATTGTAAAGGTATTTTGCAAAATAATTACATTTTTACCTAATGCTAAAAAACTACCAACGGAAGAAAATACTTTTATTATGAATTTTCAAAGATTTTACCGTTTATCTCCCGATGGCAAAGTCATAAGAATCAAGGTTACAGCTGGCTATACATCTTTTTCCCTTTACTTTCAAATATTGTTGTTAAACAATGCTTAACTTTTCTGGTTTTTGACACATCGGTGGTGGACCTTTTCAACCCCGGACCTTCATATATTACTATTTATTTTTCGATAAATTCTGGGAAATTATAACTGAGAAAATGTTATTCGACAAAATGTCCCTTTGATCGATACCAAATTTAGGTTTTGAATTTAAATAACATAAATAAAAAATAATATAACCTAGAAAATGTTTTATAAATACCAATGAGTATATAATTATACAAATGAGATCTTTCTGAGCACCGTGTTTGAGAAAAATATGCCAAAAAGTGCATTTTCATATTAACATTTCAAAAAAGTTTGCGACCCGTTTAATAACGTTTTTGTGTATAAATAAAACTACAAACAAAACTACTTACTTCAATTTAATCATAATTAAATAATATTCACCTAAAACATCCTATTAAACGTAATTGAACATCGTCTGTCAAAAACATTTGACATTTGACGTATTAGCCGCAGTCTATTGTTTTATTTAAATTACGCTTTACAAAAATTTTCAAATTAAAAATGTAAAGTTTCTACGCGATTTTGAGATAATATCTTACCTTTCCGACAACCTACTGATTAGCACGAATTTTTCAAGACTAATACTGGCCAAATCGGTTTAGCCGTTTTCGGGTTTTAGCGGATCATTTTATCAAGAGCTCTATTAATATATATATATATATATATATATATATAATTGTATGTCTATAAATACCTTTTGATATTTTCCGTCGAACAATCATGCAAAAACTTCAAAATCATCTTCCCATTATCATCCAGTTCCAAAAACCGATCACTCGCCAAATCGTCCTTATGGTACAAATAAAACAAGACATCATCCAACAATGTCTTTAGACACTTATCAAACATCCTGCACGATTTGATCATATCATTATCAAAACCGTACACATTATTCAAGGTAAACTGATTATCGGTCTTTCCAATAACCTTTTTGGATAATTTTATTCCTGAATCTTCTTCTGCTGGTTTATTATCGGTGATGTTTCCAAGTAATTCCAAGCAACGACGTCTCTCTGATTGTTGGAACTCTGTGATTTTTTTTGTACGATTTTTTTTATGTCCGTTTTGATGCAGGCGATGGCTTTTGTCCAGGTCAAATTTATGAGATGCTGGATGCGTTTTTGTGAGCAGAGGCTGGTAGTATTGAACGAAGACGTTGGTCATGTCGGGAACGCTGAGTTTGGTGCAGATTTCTTGCCAGTTGGAGGTTTTTCTAGAAGAAAATTAGGTGTAAGTGGCATTTTAGCCTTAAGGCAAGTTAAAAGAACTTCCCGATATGTGTAATAAGGATCTTAATCAACGAAACCGAAATTGAGATGTAAATATTTAAATGCAATTTTTAACTGTTTACATTGTTCGACATTTCAATGATTTCACTGAATTTCTGGAGTAAAAAATAAACTAGTTGGTATTGGTATTTTGCCTTGAGGCAAGTTATGTGAACTTCCCGATTTGTGCAAATAATCGACTTAATCCATAATAGATAAATTAATTTATAATAAGTTAAAAGTATTCGAGGTGGATTTATTGAAAATCGAACACGTCAACCTGGTCTGAGTGTTTTTTAAAAACAAATTTTCAAAAATCAATAATTTTTATAATTGAACCAGTTTCCGTAGGACTTTAGTGGTTTAGTATGTTCGTTAAGACTCGATCGTTATACCAAGTAAATCGCCTAATTTTAATTTTAGCAAATGTCAAAAGAACTACTCATTTTCTCATACTTTGATGAATTTTTAAAATTAAACTACTTGTCGTAAGGCATTAATATTTCAGTAAGTTCTATAAGACCATGATATATAACGCCAAAAAAAGTTCCGTAAAAATCGGCTTAATTTTTAGTTTTCAACTATTAATTACAAGAAAACGGCTCGGTAGATTTTCACCTAAAACTAATCAGTATTATTCCCAAGTAAAATCTTTCGAACAGTTTTTGAATTTTTAAATTCGGTCGGTAGTTTGAGCTTAAATGTGGACGAAAAGTTTAACACTTTTTTTCAAGTTACAAAAAAACGGCTTGGCAGATCGTCGCACAAAACTGACAAACCATAGTCCTCATCAAAATACATCGAATAGCTTTTAAATTTCTGAAATCGGTTCAGGCGTTTTTGAGAAAACGTCGATCAAAGGTCTATTTTGACAAATGTCAAAAAATGATACCAATTTTTGCAAATTTGACGAATTTTTAAAGCTAAAACGAGTTGTCGTAGGGCCGTAATATTTTAGTATGATCTAGAAAACTATGGTATCTACCGTCAAAAAAAAACATAAATATCGTTGAAATTTTTTTTTTTTAAACTTTATTACAAGAAAACGGCCCGGCCGATCTTTACCAAAAACTAATTAGCACGATTCCCAACCAATATCTATCGAATGGTTTTTGAATTTTCAGAATCGATTCAGAATTGCGGGCTAAAACGTGGACGAAAAATTTTTCACTTTTCTGCAATTTACAAAGAAACGGCTTGGCCGATCGTCGCACAAACTCAGAAACGCTAGTCCTCATGGAGATACATCGAATGGATTTTAAATTTTTGAAATCGGTCCAACCGTTTTGGGTAAACGTCGATTTACGACAAAAAATTTGTTCACACCACACACACACACATACTTTTTCCAAATTGGTCTCATTCGATCAGAATGGCTTGAAACGTCGAGAAAACATAAAATTCGCGAATCGGATTTTTTGATGAAAACATAAAATTCTCCTTCGGGAAGTTAATATATATAAATCACTATTTTGGAAAAATTCATATAAATCTTTTATTTCAACTCACCTATATCTGCCAACTTATGCCTGATCCCTTGCAAAGACTTCACAGAGTTCACCAAATTAATTAAATCAGCTAAAATCTTTATTAACCCGGACTTCAACTTCTTGCAACCACTTTTTCATGGCTTGGTTCAATTCATTAGATGATAACGTATTATTAAAATCCATACTGGGCCTAGAAGATAATAATTAAAATATATTATATATATATATATAATATATATAATACACCTAAGTATGTTTTACACGGTAGATTGGTTCCAGAAGAAGCCGTGTAAAAAAGACATTGATCTTATACAAAAATGGGTGATTTGTTCTAATCTCTAAAACCTATTAAAATTAGTGAAAAACAAGAATTTTTAAGAACAAGAATTCATGATTATTTTATTAAATCAAATATATATTGCTTATTTTCACAAGCATAGTAATTAATGATAAAAAGATATGCACTCTAATCTTAAAAGTAATATAATAATATAATAATAATAATAATAATAATTGTTTGTACGCGCTAAAGGAGAATTCACTTAAATCTTTAAGCTAGTGTTCGCAAACTATCGATACTATCGATGGTTCAGACGTTTATTCATAAATACTTTTTGTGATATGAACATACTTCACAAAAATTAAATTTGACAAAAAACATTTAAGTACATAAAATTTCAAATCGCGCTAAATGGAATAAAATCGTGTAAAAAAATTAAAAATATTCAATTTTCAAACCGTATTATATCAAAACCGTGCACAAAAAGACCGTGTAAAAACAGACTTAGGTGTAATATATATATATATATATATATATATATATATATATACTGGTAGTGAAAATTTATTATCATTTACCCACCTGAAGTGCAAAATATCATCTCCCAGCACTCTTTCACAACCGCACTCTCCGAACTCAATTGTTTAATAACCGGCAACACATCGATTTTAACATTTTATCAAATTCAACATTCACTAAGGGTTGAGGATTTCCAATAAAACATTCGTGAACCAATAGTAATGTATTGATTAATAATTTGCAGATTCCTGGACTTTTGTTTTGACATTGTACTGTTCGTTTTTCGGTTGCAAAATTTCATTCAGGGCTTCAATTCGCAGATTGATGAAAGTGTTCAGGATATTTGATAGGAGTTGATCTTGTAATAGACATAGGGTGCATATGCAACAAACAGCGGTCTGAAATAATAATAAGAACTAGTGGTGCATGGCATCGTGCCTTAAGGCAAATTGGTGGAACTTCCCGTACCGTAATTAAACATTTGAGGAATAAAAATAATAGTTCAACAAAAATGCCTATGAATAAATATTATAAAACTAGAATTTTCATTATTTGTTCCTTGTAGACAAAATATGAAAACTTATTAGATAAGACGACGTGTTTATATATGTTTGAATAAATATATATAAACAATATCTATTTAAGCGGACTTATTAGAGGTAGAATGAACATTATTTTATATCAAATGCATCAATTTTTCGTTCGCGAAATATATGCACTGAGTTAACAAATTTAAATAGTTCATGTAGTATCAACAATACAAACATGAAAAGCATTAAATTTTGTTTTTTTAATATTATAGATGTGGGATTAGAACCCGATGGGTTTTAACTTTATTAACTATTAAACCGAACAAAAAATTACGGTGACGCGCCAACCAACTCAGCTACAATGACATGCTCACGCGAAACGCTGTGATTTAATCAGAATTTCTGCACTTTTTGCACTATATCTTCGAAATGACTGGACCTGCCTATACCAAAAACTAATCAGTACGTCTCCACATCAATACGAATCGAATGTTTTTTGAATCATCCAAATCGGCCGATTTGTTCTCTCAGAACATGCCATTTTTTGCACTTTTTGCTCCGTATTTTCGAAACGGCTAGACCTACCTTCGCCAAAAACTACTCGGACGTCTCCTTATGAATATGAATCGAAAGCTTTTTTTAACTTCCCTTCTTCTGTAATAACTCTCCCTTAGGGTAAGTTATTGTAATGGGCCGAAAATCGAAATTGAAAATTTTTACATTTCTCGACGTTTTGAAGGTTCTGAACGTTTTGGCATACCCCAGAAAAAATGGATGTGTGTGTGTGTATGTGTATTCGTGTATCAACCGAATTGAATGGTTCAAAAAACATTCGATTCCTATTGATAGGGAAAAGAGCTGATTCGTTTTTGGCAAAGGCAGGTCCAGCCGTTTCCGAGATACGGAGCAAAGACTGCAGAAAATAGAAATCGAGTAGAACGGAGTATCCGATTTGAATGAACAATTCAATTAGTTCTAATATAAAAACATTCAATTAGTAACGATTGGGAGAAGTGTTTATTAGTTTTTAGCAAGGCAGGCCCAGCCATTTCGAAGATACGAAGCTAAATATGTAAAAAATGGCAGTTTTTGAGAGAACTAAGCTTTCGATTTAAATGATTCAAAGAACTTTCTGCTTGTTTTAACACAAATAATTTATTTTGGAAAAAAATTTTTGTTCAAACTTTTTTTTTTCAAAAAGAATTTTTTTGTATATCAAAAATAATTCAGATTTTATTTTTAATTCTGACTATAGTTCTAATATACTTTAAACAATAATTTCAACTTTGCTATTCGGTTTATATAATTCTTATAAATATTAGACAATGTTACAATATTTATAATAATCTATTTGAAAACATTCAGTATTCCTCGAACATTTCGTTACGGTACGGGAAGTTCCAGCAATTTGCCTTAAGGCACGATGCCATACACCCCACTAGTTTTGTATTCAAATCGGTTGATCGGTGTTCCCGAAATAGTCGACAAAAATTTGTATCCGCAAGCACACACACACACACACTAAATGTATATTAATTGTTATCCACAAAGTATAATAATTGAATTTTTAAATTCTCTTAAAACTAATGTGTGGGCTTTATATTTAAAAATAATTAATTAAATAAAATTATAAAATAAAAATTCTGTCTTTTTTTCAAAATAGTCAATTTTGTTAAAAAATTTAAAATTTTTCAAAAATCTAATTTTCAAAAACAAATTTCTAATAATTAAAAAAAAAAATTTGATACAGGAAGTTCCAGCAATTTTCCTTAAGGCACAATAAGTTTGAGAATAAATGGTTAATAGTGATAAAACTATCATACCTCTGTTTTAATATCAGGACATTTCAGTGCTTCATTACAAGCATTTTTAATCGTCTCATTGAATGTAGAAATCATATTCCATTGTCTCTCAGCAAGCTTCATCCAATTAAATTTTTTATCTGATTGGACATCATCATTTACACGAAATTGTAGACCTAAAAAAATAGAAAATTAGGAAATAAATCGATATATATATATATATATATATATAATGATTTTCTTACCTGTGCTGATATGCCTCGCAAACAAATACAACTCCACAGCCCCCAAAAAATCTTCATTCTCAATAGCGTCCAAATCTTTTCAGGCACAATAATTAATATATGTATTTGTGCAGCTACAGAATCCTGCGAGAAGTTCATGTGCGATCTGCTGCTGTTTCTCGAATTTGTTATTTGCAATTAAAAAATCCAGTCCATTTAGATTTTTCACAAACTTCATTATTTTGCTAACGTGTTGTATCACTTTGGATGCTGTTTGTTTCATCTCGGCTATTGTATCAGCAGCTAGGAGGAGATCACGGTAACGCTCCCTGGGAAATAAAAAATAAGTAATAATAATAATAACATAAGCCTTGAATTTGCCTTAAGGCAAGTTGCATGAACTTCCTGATATGTGTTTATAATCGACTTGATAAAAGTTGATATGTACTTTCACTAAAAACTTCAACTAATAATATATGTAATTATTAATGTTTACTATTTCTTACCCCACCATAGTTCGTAGTTCCTCACGCTTTTTCTCAATTTCATGTTGAAGCTTTATACGAACTTGTTCAATTTCTTGGATAGATTTTTGCTCAAAAAGCTGTTCAGGATTTATTTCATACAAAACTGACTTGGACATGTTGAATTAGATATTTAAACATTTATATTAAACATAAATATAATGCATTTAAAACCTTAAATGTACAATTAAAATTTACTACAATTGTACAATTTGAGGTTATGTATCTTTGATGTGATATTAATATTGTTATTGCAAGAGGTAAATCATATTTTATAGTTGATAAAATATTTTCTATGAACTAAATTATAATTTATAATTGTTTTTGACTATTAACGATTACGTATTTAATAAATTAATAACTAGCACAGATTTTGTGAATTTATTTCATTCTTGACAACGCGGCGCTGTCATGTTGACGTTTGAGGACCACTCGTACCTAACTTCAGAGTTCAAAATCGGCGCAACTTTTAAAATTCAAATATACGAATTTAAAAAATGCAGAAAAAACATTGATATATAAAACATTTTTTTACTAATCAATTGTATAAAACTATTGTATTCACATTTTTATATTTTGTATATATTCTAAAATAAAACCCAATAAAATTATTATTAAATATTACTCGCGTTTATTTTCATATCATATTTACACGTACAAATTCTAATTTAAGATTATAAATATAATTTTTGTTTACGTCAATAATATAATATAATATAATATAAGAAACAACGATAGAGATTAATATTTAGATATATTAATTAATATGTGTTTATCTAATTTAATTATTTAATTATTTCAGGCCCGAGTAACACAGAATCACGTGCAGACACAAAGAAGAATATTCTAAGTAATGTATTCTATATATATTTTATATATAATATATACAATATAAATATATATTTACATACATACATACAGAGTGCGATGTGAAACCGAAAGAATGGAAATATATATATATATATATATATATATAAACTTATTTTCAATGTAACAGGAACGTAAATATTACGTAACATGGTTACATAACAGTGACATTACGTAACTGTTATGAATTTCTTATTACACAAAATAATTATATAATATTTATAATGCAGTTTTCGAATTTAAACCTCTATTATTATTTTCAAAGGTATTTTTAAGCTTTTTGTGTTTTTTCAAATAAAATGTGTATTTTTGTACACAAAGAATGGCCAATTTGGCGCGAGAAACATATGGAAATCGATTTAAATTAATTCTTTTTAACATAATTTAATTTTCTTTTTATTTTTATTATCTGGGTGAATTCTTTGTATATACATATATGGAATAAACAAAAAAAGTTTTTACCAGACATCCACCTAAATATTAAAATAAAAACTAAATATGTTTAAAAATATTAAAAAAAAAAAAAATTCCCATCATTTCCTGTGCCATCTTGGCCCTCTTTCAGTAAAAAACACATTGAGTTAAGGCAAAAACACTTGATTAACACTAATATTTGTAAAAATTAAGGTTAATTTGAAAAACAAAAATTAAATATAATATATAACCA